TTAATCCATTCAGTTTAACACAGGTAGGAGGTAGTCAGGTTAGGCCATCTTCTGTTTCTTTTCCCTTTTTTATTTGTTTAACTGCTCTGCAGCATCCAGTGTTGTAAATGTGCATAATGTGGTTTTATTGCTTGCTTTGCTTGCATTCATTCATTCATTCATTCATTCATTCATTCATTCATTCATATGTAGCCACCAGCACCTTAAATTACACCTAGAAGTCCTCTGGTAACCAGTGCAGTTCATGCAATAGAGGTATTATATGGACATTCATTCTGGGTGAGCTGTACCATCTAAGTGGTCTTCAAGGGCTGCCCCATGTAGAGCATGTTGCAGTAGTCCAGATGATTAAATTAAATCATGAATGACTGAGTAGGGCCACCTGATCCAGGAACTGCTGCTATTAGCACACAATGCTTTTGTGCAAATCCATTTGGAATTTAAATAAAGATAAAGACTCCTTCTATTCCAGCAGGAGTCAGAAGTCTAGAAAAACTCCCACACTGCGTACCAGTTCATTCTGAAGTAGTGAATCCCGTCCAGAATTAATGATGAAAGATCACTGGAACTGGGTGACCCCAAAATCCACAGCCACTCTGTCTTATTAGGGATGAGCCTAAGACTGTTCATCTCCATCCAGACTGCCACAGCCTCCAGAGATTAAGAGGGAACCTTGATAGTATCACTTGGTTGGCCAAGAGTTGAGATATATAACTGGGTACCATCAGTGTACTGATGATATCTAACCCCATGCTGTGAAATGACCGTGCCCAGTTCATGTAGATGTTAAATAGTGGGGAGAGAGTCAAGCCCTGAGGCATCCCTCACAGCAGGGGCTTGTTCCCATCACCAACAATGACAGGAAGTGGACCTGAAGGAAGGAGGAGAACCACTGCCACACTGTGCCTTCCACTCCCTATCCCTTGAGCTGATAGATATCTCCATCCCGAGTGACCTAAGTGATGCTGTGGCTACCCTTTCACGGTGCCTGGAGGCTGTAGGTGCCTGGATGGGGGACAACAGACTTCAACTGAACCCTGGTAAGATGGAGTGGCTGTGGGAACAGAGAGCCTCAAGATTTAGGAGTTTATCATCTTTGGTTCTTGATGAGGTCACACCACACAGACCGATTACCCCAGTGCGTAATCTGAGGGTCCTCCTGGACTCATGACTCCTGTTCGAAGACCAGGTGGCAGTTGTGGCTAGGAGGGCCTTTGTACAACTTGGTGTTGTGCATCAGTTACACCCCTTCCTCGATTGGGAGGCCCTCCGCATGGTCACTCACGCCCTGGTCACCTCCTGGTTGGATTACTGCAATGCACTTTACATGGGGCTACCCTTGAAAAGTACCCAGAAGCTACAGCTGGCACAGAATTCAGCAGTGCGGACAGTTCTGAATGCCCCCTGGGAGGGCCCATATAACACCACTGTTACGCGAGCTGCATTGGTTGCCGGTTTGCTTCCGTGTCCAATTCAAGGTGTTGGTTATCGCCTTTAAAGCCCTTCATGGCACAGGACCAGGTTATTTGAGGAGCCATTTCGCCCCCGTTATATCAGCCTGACCCACTCAGTCCGGCAGAAGGGGCATATTGCAGACTCTACCAGTCAAGGAATTTCATCTGGTGGGATCTAGGAAGAGGGCCTTTTCTGCCATGGCCCCTGCTCTATGGAACAACCTAGCACCCGAGGTGCAGTGTGCCCCCACACTCATGGCCTTCAGGAAGAACGTAAAATCTTGGCTATGCCAGATGGCCTGGGGGCCGGATGGGGGCTCACACCAGTGGAGGTGGTTTGTGGGGTAACTGATTTTACTCCCCTGTCATCCTGAATGTTTTTAGTTTTTTACGTATAGGGCTTGTTTTTATAGTTTGACTTTTTAATTAATTAATTAATTAATTAATGGGGGTATTTATTTTTTAAGTTTGTTTGTTTGTAGGTTTTACTTTCATTGTGAGCCGCCCAGAGTCACCCGCTGGGGAAGATGAATGGCATACAAATTTAATAAATAAATAATCAGTCAATCCAGACTAGGTCTTGTATGTCGAAATACACAATTTTATGGTTTTCCTTCTCCAGAAGGTGGAATCACTCCTTGATTTGTCTTGGTCAAGTTATAATGGATAATTGACCCATTTTCTTAAAATGTTTATATAGTCCTTGGAAGAGTCATTCTGGCATCACCAGTGAGGAATGAAGCACAACAAAGGCTCTTTTCTTCCAGAGAACCATGCCAATGGCTACAATTTAATGTTTTCATATTCTAAATATTTTTGTGGTGCAGGAATGTATTTAAGGTCCCAGGGTCTGAAGTGTGGACTTTGGTACTCTTTCAGGTATTTTGTTCTCTACTGGAAAAGACTATTTCAACTGAGGCTTTTAAAATTGGGACAAAGGTTAGGTGAATCATGACTAAGGTATATAAAAATCATGCATGGTATAGAGAAAGAGAAGTTTTTCTCCCTCTCTCACTTTGTCAGAACTGGAAGTCATCCATTGAAAGTAAATTCTGGAAGATTCTGGGTTAATAAAAAGAAATACATTTTAGTGCATAACCAGGCAGTTTCTGTTGTGCTAGGAAGTGTAGCTGGGGAGAGGCAGAGCTGTCTTAATTTGCCATTGCTATGCCTTTCTCAAAATCCTTTCCCAAATCCCAATGGGATGGCTGAGGGAGTCTCCGTCTGTGCTGCCTCTTCTGCTAACATTGCCCCTGCTGTGCGTACAGTTTAAATGTACTTTCTTTGGAAGCAACGTCTGTTATCTGAAAAGAGATTGCCAAGGACATGTTTTTAGGGGAAAATGTTAAAGTTGTGCCTGCAAGAATCCAAGGATGATAGTGATTTTCATTATTTAAAAAAATCCTTTCTACTTCAGAGGAAGAAGTAATGTCAAGATTAATATTGTACATGTAGTATATTGAACACTTTTTTCATATTTAGTATTTTGGAAAGAAACATCTGGTTGTGTATGATGAATTAGTTGTTTATGGCATTGTTGAGAGTTTATTGTATTTAAAAATAATTCCTTACAATCAAGGATTAGTAGGAAAATCCTATGCCTTTCTAGTTCTGTGCATGATATTGTTTGAACAGTAAACTCTTATGTAGAGAGAAGACAAGCGTTTTGGAATTTTCACTTTATTTATGATGATAATGTTTTCTGTTCATAATTCAGAATCTGCTCTAACCAGAATGAGATTGTCTTTGCAAATAAAATCATAATTTTGCACATGTAAGCACAAAGGCATTGAATTCATAGAATTACATAAAGTGTGCTTAACAGAATCTCTAGGAAGAGGAGGCTTATATCTGTTCACTCTGAGGACTTGCTTTTAGTTGTAGAAATGTGGCTAAAAAGGGATTTTCAGGACATTGCCATTTATTAACTCTCAACAATGGGTTCAAGCAGCACACCAAGCCACAAAACATAATCAAGCTTACTACATCATAAAAATGCAGCTGACAGGTCTTTAACTTGATGGTTATCCATGTAATACAAATGTATCCGCTAAGTATTAGTGGATAAAACTGGGAAGTAATGCCTAACAGTAGTATAAAAAACATGGGACACACAGCACAAATTACAGTTTCCTGTAAAATGATTATAAACAGTGCTTTTTCTTGAAATAATATTATTGTTTGAATTATAGATATTGCATGCTGTGCTACTTAATAAACACTACACTAAAGTGCATGAAATATGTTTGTTTACCCATGAAAATATATCTTTTAAATAGATGAAGGTGGTTGGATTAATATTGAGGCAGAGGAATAGTGCAAAACTAGTAACTAACCATCTGCTTTCCCAAACAGGTTCAGTGCCACACCTATACTGGATATTGCTGGTGTGTCACTCCAGATGGCAAGCCTATCAGTGGTTCTTCTGTACAGAACAAAACTCCTGTATGCTCAGGTATTGAGGGCAGAGGAAAAAAG